GTGCACACACACACAAATGAAAATAAAGGACTGAGAAAAAGAAGCAGCCAGGAAATGCTGCAGAAAGAAATTCGATGCGTGAATCTCAATAGCTGCTAAGTTAGTGAAATTCAAGTCTAGGAATATGAATGAGGAAGGAAGCTACACTCTTGAAACATAACACTTCTATACACCCAATGAGCCAGCTGGGAGCCGTTATAACTCCACCTGTCTATTTTCCATTGCAGTAGCAAAATACTCGAGGCTGTGTAATTTGTAGAAAAAGGGGTTTATTTGGCTGACCTTGTTGGAGGCTAAAAGTCTGACAGCATGTCAGCTGTCTGCATTGCTCCATGGAAGATAGTATGGAAAGAATGTGTGGGAGAGGGAAACATCACATGGTGAGAAATGATGCCAGGGACAGGGAGGTATCAGTCTTACTCTCCCTGACTCACTCACGAGAATAGATAGGGACTCATGAGAGCTACCTTAAATCTCTTATGAGGACTGCGTATTACCTGACCCGATGGCATGCTGCTCTGTCCAAGGACAATATACTGAATGACCAGATGGCGCTCTGTTGCACCCATCATGGCTCCAGGGACTTGGCCCTGACTGGGGAAGTGAGGTAAGGAAGAAAAGACAGACAGTTGCACACACAGACACCCAAACACTCAGTACTGGACTGGGTTCTCAGATGGGGAAAGCTCAGTGTGTGTGTTATAGTGGCTTACAGAGAGGCAGGAGTTATCACATGCAGACCAACCAGGAGGCAAGCACACAGCTGATCAAGGAGGAAGACTCTGCATAGGGGATCAATGTTTAAGCTGTAACTATCTGGGCCGGGGGTGGGGGAAGATGGGGTGGACACATTCTACACACACTGTCAACACCTGCACACATATCAGGAGGAGCGCTTTGCCATGCCTCCATGGGTCTGTTGTCCTTGACATGGCTATGCCCGTGTCACATTCATACCATATCCAAACCCTTTAACAATTGTTAGAAATAAATATGAAAAGCAGGAAATCAGTCAGGTGGTATGCTGTAATCAGCTGCTCTCAGAAATCAATAGATAATTTAAGAGCCACCACCACCACCATTTGTGGGGTATGAGTAAATATCACAATGCAAGCTATATATATGACTGGATGAATGAATGGATAAAAATACACACATAATAAAATATACATGCATGCATAATTAATCGCTGGCTAGATACATAAGTACAAATGAAGGAACAGAGACAACAGATGCTAGATATGCACAAATAATAGGGATGGCTAGTGATAGAGAGTCAATGGATGATTTAATAATAGGGGATAAATGACAGGTGAAAGGCATGAGATGAATGGATAGACCCAGCTCTAATATTCCAAAACAACTCAGTGGAACTGTCCACTGGAAACCTGAAAAGGGACATTTAAGGCCCAAACCTTGTCTTGCCTTGCCTGGCAAAAATAGTATCCGAAGCTGTGAGGGTTGATCAACTCACAAAAAAAGGGGGGGGGAGGGGGAAGAGAAAGGGAAGGAGGAAGGGAGGGGGAGGGGAGGAGAGAGAACCCTGCAGTACATCTCTAGTTATCAAGAGAACAACAGGACAGATGGACACGGCATTCAGAGGGTGTGTAGCAACACTGAAGTCAAAGGAATCTGCTCCACTTATGCTCCCGAGTAGGTGTCTCTGATAATTGCTTTGAAAAACAGAGTATAAATAAAAGTCTGTGGGTGGCTGACAGAACAACATCCTTGTTTTCAGTTCAACTGAGTCTGTCCTGCCCTGCCCACCAGACGTGTGGGGATTCACTCAGTTCAGACTGGGTGACTCCCACGATTTCTTGTGGCTAGAACAGCGAGCAAAGCCTGCCTTCCCCTCTCTTCACCAGCTCTCCATTTCAAACTCCGGCTGGGAGACAATACCCTTTGTGGCCACACAGCACACCTGACGCCATCTTGTGGCACTCAGATCTTTATATTGTGACTACCGACTTCGCTATTGTCTGCTTGCATCTCTAGATCCCTCTCTGGTGGTTGTTTTGCTTTGCTGGTTAACCAGGATTCTCTTGGGGAAAAGGTAGGGACCCCCAACTGCAGTACACTCACCTCTTTTGCATTTTATCTTCTCTCTGCCATAGCCCTATCACAGACAAGGAGGAATTGCTGTAAAAGTCGTATTTAGCACTAGACAATGCTGACTTTTGGCCAGTGTCTTAGGACTTTTATTGCTGTGAAAAGACACCAAGACCTAATTATGGTGGCTCACTTACAGTTTCAAAGGTTCAACCCCATTATCATCTTGGCAGGGAGCATGGTAGTCTGCAGACATACACGGTGCTGGAATAGCTGAGAGCCCTAATCTTGCAAGTAACAGGAAGTCAACTGAGACATTGGGTAGTATCCTGAGCATAGGAAGCTTCAAAGCCTGACCCCACAGTGACACACTTCCTCCAACAAGGCCATACCTACTCCAACAGAGCAACACCTCCTAATAGCTGCCACTCCCTATTAGATTATGGGAGCCAATTACATTCCAACTACCATAGCCAGGAAGAACATATGAGATGGCAAACACATTAAAATTCAGTAATCATGTTCTATATGATGGCCATTATTCTTACTTTTCTGTAGGTCAATTACACTAATGATGACCTCTCTTAGAACAATTACTCATTCTATTAATAATTGGGCACACACATCCATGCAAAAATGTTAAAAACAAAAAAAACATGTACATGGTTTAAAGAATGTCCAGGTCCGGAAACAGAACCCAATGGCTTCCCACCCTGAGTCTCGGGGTGCTCTTCCTGATCAAGTTTCTCCTGGCCCTAGAAACAGCTGTGATCATCTTTGCTGCTCTTAATAGTTTTACACTTATGTATTTATCCTTAATACTGTAGTTTACAGAAAGTTCAAGAACTCACAAAACTACCCAGCACTAGGGAGGCAGAGACAGGTGGATCTCTGTGAGTTCAAGGACAGCAGGGTATATTCAATGGATCCTAGATATTATGAGTAAGGAAACTTCGGCATTGTGACTTTTCTATCCATTTTATGATATTGTTTGGTTTTGGGTAGATGAATTTGTGGCTAAAATATATATTTTCAAGACTGCAGCGAAGTGCCTCAGCTGTTAAAAGCACTGACTTCTCTTCTAGAGGACCAGGGTTCAATATCCAGCAAACACATGGCAGCTCACAACTGTCTGTAATTCCAATCTCAGGGAAATCTGACACCCTCCTGTCTTCCAAAGACACTACATACATTTGGTACACAGACATACATGAAGGCAAAACCACCCATACATGCAAAAACATGCAAAATAATACATTTAAAGCTTTTCTTTTCAATCCCCATTTTCTCATTTTCTCATAAAGGTTCACCCAGAATTTTGAAATATTTTTTGAATATTGGAAATGTACCGAAGAACATACAATATCCTCAACAAAGACTCAGATGGCACCCACAATCATGTACATTAATCTTTCTACAGCAAAACCTCTTAGTTACATAAGTGATAAATATAGAGTCTCACACTATTTTAGCTTCTCTCTCTCTCTCTCTCTCTCTCTCTCTCTCTCTCTCTCTCTAACCAATGAATTCCAAAGATTTAGGTATTTTAGATGTTGAGAGATATTTGTAATTAGTACAATTTAACAATTTATAGTCACAAGAATATAGGCATAATCGAATTAGTAAAAGTCAAGAGGAACCTGGAACCTCCTGTAGGAACCTTCTGGAACTTGTCTGTAGAAAGATTTTTTTTAGTAAGGTTTGAATTGCCTACTAGCACCATTACTCATTTTTCTGGAAATTTGTACACTTTTCTAAACTTTGCCTGCACTCAACTGTTTATAAGATCCTTTACTTTCTTCTCATCTACAGAACTTCACACTAGTTATTAAAACCTCTCACCAGTTATTTGCTGATTTTATTCTTTTTTTCACAAAAATCAACTTGACTTTCTTTTTCAGTGTTTGACAGTGTAGTGACTCCAGACCTGACAAAAGCAAAATTCTGGTTTGCCGTTTCCCATAGTGAGTGTTGCATCATGGTCGGTTTCAAGCTACAGTGATTTTTTTTTTTATTAAGAAGTTGAGAAGGGTTGCACAAGGCTGGCTGTGGACACCACTGCTTTTGTTTCTCATTTCATTAATGCCTGCTCTTGATGCACTTTTGTGGTACACATTCATACTTGCAGCCATATAGATAAAACAAGTAAATCTTTAAAATATATTTCAATTGAAAATTAACTCACCTAAGGCTCCTTCATATTTTTTGTGGCCATCCTATATACATAATGCTGTATCTCTATAAAATGACACCGATAAGGTAAATTCATCCCATATATATATTCCTTAGACCACTGGGGAGCATGTCTCATATTTTGGCGGTGCTTAGAATCACTCTGTCTCCCTGAAAACCTGTACATGCTGAACGTGGTTAGGGCCTTACAGAGGCACCAAGTGCTGAGCCGTCGGCTGGAGTTGTGGCGGTGTGCAGCTGACACTCCTGGTTGTAAGCCCGCGTTACACACGAACGCACGGGGCTCTTCAAGTACCTGGAGCAGACAGAACTAGAGCCCAGCGGGCAGACTGGCCTTCATCCACGACTCTACTTGTGTTCCTGAACGTTCTGCTTAAAGACACGAGCTCACATATTAAACACTCCTCTCACAACATCCGAAGCACGTCCTTTCATCCCTTAGGGAGGTACGAGGTGCCTGGAAGCACGGCCAAGCCCGGGAGTCTGCGCTCTCAGGCCTCCTTCTCCCCCTACACAGAGGAGGGGGCGTGGTGCCAGCTCCGCCACCCCCGCCCACTCTCGGTCCCTCCTCGCCCGCCTAGGCAGCCACAGCTCACCACACCCCTTTTGCTATGGGATGAAGCAAACTACGGGGTAGAGGGCAGGGACAATCAGCCACTAGTTTCCGCCCACAGGCCGCGCCCACCGCGGCCGGAAATTGTCCGCCAATGAAAAAAGACACAGGCGGAAGTCCCGCCCTTCCGTGTTGCGAACGGCAGCCTGGAGGAGTCAGCCTGAGCCCCCCCCCCCCCACTCTCTCGCTGAGAGTTTCCTTGCGTGGTCCGTCAACTCGCTGGGCGACTTTGCCGCACAGAACTGGACTCCGCACCGCGCTCTCCCACGTGGGCTGACCTTCAGCGCCTCAGCCTCAGGTTGTAGGCTAGTCAGTGTGATCGCATGTCCCGTCGTTCCCCGTGAGATCCCTGCAGGAATGGCTGCCCCGTCCATGAAGGAAAGGCAGGTGTGCTGGGGCGCGCGAGACCTGTACTGGCGGTGTCTCGACGACAACGCGGAGGACGCGGCTCGGTGCCGGCAGCTGAGGAGCTCGTTCGAGGCCAGCTGCCCCCAGCAGTGGGTAAGTCCCGGGGGGCTACAACCCGTCCCTGCACTCACCCTCACCTCGGGGTAGGTTTTGAGGGACAAGGTCACGGAAGAGGCCTCTCGTTGAAAATCACCAGTTAGTGGGTATTACTGGAGAAAATGACAGTGCTCTGTCAGATTCAGAAGGGTCCGTGTTGTGATGAGTTATCAGGAGTCCATAGCCTTTCTCTCACGGTCCCTTCAGTAGTAGGGCTCATTCAATATCCGTTCTTTACTTTGTCCTAGTCTCTGCCAACTCCCATGGAGACTGAGAGGTGTGTCCAGAGACACGTGGGTGGGGGGTGGAACATCATGGCAATGTGTTCTGAGGGGACACTGGGCTTTACTTGTTAGGATTCAGTTTTTTATTTGTTGCATTCAGTTTTATGCAGAGGAAGCCCCATGCATTAGACAGGAGAAACACTTGTCTAAGATGAGCCCACCACTCTAGTGGAGAGGGGATCCTGTGTTTACTCTGCTGTACAGCAGTCTTTTGAGAAAGGTGAAGACTTATGCTGTACTGTACAGGGCCAAGAGAACCAGGGGTCTGGGTGACTGGCGTATTTACAGAGCAGCTTCAAGAGGAGAAACACTGCCAAGAGGTGCTGAGTTCTGGACAGGTTGTTTTCAAACACCAAAATACTGCTTTCACTGAAGGGTAAGAGATAGTCCAATGTGAGTGACTGGCTCAGGAACACAGATTGAAGTTTCCCAAACATCATGTGGCAGAAGTTTCATGAAGTTTTATAGGGACAGAACAAAGGAAGTTCTAAGTCAACACAGTTTTCAGAGACATGGATGGAAATGTCAGGCAAGCTTGTGACGGCAGCAAAGCAGGAAGGCCTCTGCTGTGAGCCTCAGATGCTATCCGGTGACATTCTTAGCCTTCTGGTTGGTGGAGGCAGCCGGAGCAGTGTCATGGCTGGCACACATGTATCTTCCTTGGATTTGGTTTATGCTTCCAGAATATTACGGTATCAAGATAAGACATGTGCCTCGAGAAGAGGGGATGATGTGAAAGAAAATAAAGCTAGGTCTTTAATGATTAGTGATGATTTAGCCATGTGTCTGTTTCCTCAGACGTGTTTCTAGATAAGACAGATTTATCAGAAATACCAGGGCTAATATATGATACACTGAATCTATAACCAGCCATTGTCTGTAAAACTTGCCAGGTGGGCTCCTGGGTGCGCAGACCATCTCTTTAAACTGGTCCCAGGACATTATACACTAATAGGCATGAAGGGAGAGAGACTCGGGTCCAGAACACAAATCACGATTCTGCTTCGATACCATGGATATCAAGTAACATGTTACATTTAAATCTGTGCTTTTGCTTGCCAGACTGCATGACCTGCTCTAATGTCCCACCTTTTTATCTCAACAGATAAAATATTTCGACAAGAGAAGAGACTACTTAAAATTCAAGGAAAAATTTGAAGCAGGAGAATTCCAGCCTTCACAGTCCACTGAAAATTCCTAGGCACTTCCTGGACTTTCATACAAGTGGAGATTATTCTGGACTGTCAGAAATGCTTTGCTGGTTCCAGGACAAAGGCAATTTGACCCACAGTTACACATAAAAGGGTCTAATAGCAGAAGATCTAGTCATTCAAACTGTGAAGGACTGAATGGTATTACGTGTGCTGCTCTAATTTAGTGAGAGATCTATCTTAAGGAAAAAAAATAAAGCTTATAATAAAAAACACATGGTCTATCTTCCTCCTCTTCCCCCGCCTTTCGAATAAAAGCCAAATAGTAGGTAAACCTAGTTGCAACTAATATAAATAAAAACTAAGATAGGCTGTACATGTGCTTCTGGCTGTTAGATTAGCATTTTAATATGGAAACTACACAATGAAGTTGGAAGACACCTTAACTAATCTAAGGGATATAATAAAATGTTGGAATGTCCTCAATGATCAGACAGTGCTTGGGTTGTTACCTAGTTCAGTAAGACAAAGAAGAAATAATACATTGAAAGGGAAATCTGGACCTTTTCCAAGATACTTAAGAAAATGCCTAAGGATGGACCCCCCCCCCCAAAACTGAACTATAGCTCATAAACTTGGAGACAATACTTCAAATCACATATCCAAAATCAAGAACAAGCAAACAAAAACACCCCTCATGGTTCTTAATAAGAAAAATGATCCTGTTTAAAAAGTGAGCAAATTGGGGCTAAAGAGATAGCTCAGGAGTTAAGAGCACTTGTACTTCCAGAGGTCCTGAGTTCAATTCCCAGTTACCACATGGTGGCTCACAACCATCTACATGCCAGGACACTGTACACATAAATAAAAAAGCATTTAAAAAAAAACCTTAAAAATATTTTTTTAAAGTGAGCAAATTATGGGGATAGTGTAAGCATTACAGCTTGGATGGAAAGGGATCCTGGCAGTCAGGAGCCAAGGAACACGAGAACGTCACCGTAAGTATAACAGCATACAGCCCGTGTGAAGCCCTGCTCCAGGGAAAGGCTTCCCCAGCAGAATGCGTTACAGTTCTTCCCCACTCCGGCTCCTGGGAAAGTTGTTTCTTCTCTGCTCTGCTCCAGGGAAGTATCTCACCCAAACCGCATTCAAGTGATTTATTGGGAGGGAAGAATCCAGGAGGGTGACTGCCTCTCAGTGAAAAAAGGCGGCTCCCAACTGAACAGGCACCAGACTTATATAGATAGGGCTTGCTAGGGGTGGAGTTTTTCTAGGGTGAAGATTTTCAAGGTGGAAATTAGTTGGATTTCAATCCCTGAGTTTAGACAAGCTCAGAGATTGGCTGGATTTCATGTTCAGGGATTGGTTGGTTTTTGTGATGAGTTGGTCAGGGTCAAAGTGTGTTTATTTCACTGGACCTTTTAAACCTTTGGCTATGGTTTCAGGACCAGAGTATATTTCTTTCACTGGCCCTTTTTAACTTTTTGGCTCTGGTTTTAGGGTCAGGGTATGTTTCTTTATTATTTCAGAGTCAGGGTGTGTTCCTTTCACTGGCCCTTTTACCCTACAGATACTTGCCAAAATTAAACAGAAGACAAATAATGTGAAAAGGGCCTCCACAGCATTAGATTTTAGAATAATGGAAATGAATGCTATACTGCTATGTCACTGAATACTTGCTAGAATGGCTTAAATTAAAAGGCTGACAATACCAAATGATGACCAGGATGCAGAACAAGTCACTTACACTGCAAACTGGGAAAGCCCTCTGCAGAGGTTTTCAGAGTAAAGCATGCTGACCTTGTGACCCAGCAGCCCCACTCACTCCCAGGTACTTCACCAAATGAACTGAAATGAAAGCAAAACCTGAAGCGTCACTCAGTCCCTAACACCAAATGCCTATGTCAGGGATAGATGAAATACTACACGTCTACAATGGATGGAATACCAACAGCATGAGCAAACACTTGGATGAGCCATGAATGCATTCTGCTCCCTGAAAGAAGCCAGACTGTGATCACGTCAGTTCTCTCGAGTAACAGGAGTGGCATCTGGATGAAGCGGGTGTGTAGAGATGTGGTGTTCTATGCTTGAAACCCTGTTGCAAATCAAAACTCAAAAGACCTACAAAAGAAAATGAATAGACAAAGGACTCTGAAATTTGAGTGTTACTCAAAGGGTTCCGGGGATGGCAAGTACCTTGCTGAATGATAATAACGATCACCACTAAATAATGCAGTCATCTAAACATAAGCATCATGGGATAATGGGTTTCATCCTTGTTTTCAGTAGGATTTATAGGACTGGTCCAACAGCACTGGGTCGTGATTGCAGTCCTCAGAGATAGATTTCCACCACAAGCACAATTGCATAGGACAAATTCCATTTAAGCCTAATGTGAACATGATGGCCGAATTTGTAGCTCTGGAAATAAAGCCTAGGACCTGAGTATAAAGAACTTTATTGGGAGAGCTGATTCATATCTTTCCACGTTTTAAAACAGAAGGGCATAGGTGCTCATAAGTGACAACTTTAATTCTTCCACACTGTTAGCACAGCCACCCTGACAATACTGGCTTCTAGGAAGAACATTTAAAAACTTAATTTTTAAAAATTTCACAGTTGCTTAAAATATTTAAAAAGGTAATTAGATTTAGCCAGAAGGGGACAATATATAGTGATATACTTTAAGGCACATGAAAAAGTTTTGGCACTGAGGTGCAAAGCTAGAGATGCAGATAATCCCAGGACATCTCAGAATATTTCATTAGTCCAGTAGGTTATAAGATACAACCATTAGCACCATTAGAGACGGCAGGTGAGGCTCGGCCTTCAGGATGCCGGCCCCGCACACCCAAGCAGCTGCTGTCTGGTATACTCCCAGATCAGTAGAGCCCCGCTCACGTGCACATTCAGTGAGCGGATGATGCCCTGCTGAGGGATCTCCACACACACATCTAGCTGCTGGATCAGGTTGGCTGGGATCCCTTCCCGCTCATTTCTGCAGACGAAAAATGGAGCGAGACATGTTAGCTTTTCTGTAGTACCTCTTACTATTATGTTTTTAGAAGTCCTAAATGTTACTGTAGGGGACAAATAAACAGAGGAAGTCAACTCCAGTTCCAGGAAGTAAAGAAGGGTGTTACAAGACAGGCCAATTCCATCTTTACAAACATCCCAGCCAGGTGAGATGAAGGGAAAACCAAGGGGTTCCCCATGAATGCTATAAATTGACAGGAAGTTGCGTAACAGGAACCTACGTAAGATTTAAACAGCCTTGAGACAGACAGGACCAGGGAATCGACTCACCCCAAGAGAAGCAGCGACTTCTCAGGGAAGCGGTACTGGGCCAGGTCTGAGCTTTGAGCTGTCTGCTCCACACCAATGACAGTGTAGCCTTCTGCCTTCTTCTGCTGCAGGTAATCTGTCAGCTGGGCTGGCCTCACCTTGGTGGCAGTTTTAGGAGAGCAGAATATGAAATCATTCCATTGTAAAGTATGAAAGTGGACAGAGCATTAGACTTAAACCCAGCTTGTCAAAAGGATTTTTAAAGTGACAACAGGACACCAAATGACATGAGAAAGAACACCCTCCCCATCACAGACTGCTGAGTGGTGGCTGAACGGGGAAAGGTAACACGTTCAGCTGAGGGGGCTGCTGCAACCACTGCAGGTGACAGATAGGACCCCGTGGAGCTCAGCCCTGAAGGGTCAGACGGAGAAGCTGGCACAGACGGCATGCCAAGACGTTACACCCACCTCTACCAGAGGAAGCCACTGCTCTGCAGAGACACTCAGGTGCTGGAACTGTCTGTCACTGACACACTGAAGACTGCCGACGACAAGTACTGCAGCTCCAAACACCTCACAGGTCCGGCACAGCCCTGCACAGAACGGCCTGTTAGTGAGACCGGCTCCAGCAGGTCACAGAGCTCATGGCATATCTGGAGGATGATTTTACCTCCTAAGTTGGTTGGCTTGTCGATGAGCGAGGCCACAACAATCAGTCTACTAATGGACTTTCCAAGCTTGGCAGCCCGGTCCTGAAACACAAGCTCCAGGTCTGACTCCAGAGCCTTGTGTCCCCATGGGATAATCTTTTTCTGGACATCAGCCCACTCTGGTTGGCTCTCTGCTTCACCCAAGGTATAACCTGAGAAGAAATAATAGTTCCTGTATGTAAATTAGCCTGGGTCAATTCTCTTATGTATTTGCATCTTTAGATGACTTTTTAAATATTCTTTATGTTATTGTTAATGTGTGCGCATGGCCTGAGTATATGTATGAAGACCAGCAGAGGGCGCTGAAAATCCTGGAGCTGGAGTTACAGGGGGTTGTGAGCTACCTCATGTGGGTGCTAAGAATGGAGTCAGCTGTCTGTGCTCACAGAGGTCTCTCAGCCCCTGGTGCTCTCTACTGGATTTCCTGGGTGTTTGCTGCCTGCCACTGTCTGATACATCTGTGTACCACTGTCTGCTGTCTAGAACACAGCTGTGGGAGGGCAGGGACTCTGTCTATGTCTAGCACATTGGATGCCAGCAATGGATCCTCATTGAATGGATGAGTAGATTCAAGATGATCTGTCTGAAGACGCACGCTGAACCATCTCCACCCAGACACTGAATTAAAATCACAGGGTATAGCCGGGTGTGGTGGTGCATGCCTTTAATCCCAGCACTCAGGAGGCAGAGGCAGGTGAATCTCTGTGAGTCTGAGACCAATCTGGTCTACAAAGTGAGTTCCAGGACAGCCAAAGCTGTTAAACAAAATACACACACACACACACACACACACACACACCCCAAAAAGACTACAGGGTGAGGTTAGAGTCTGCCGTTTAAAAAAAAATACATTCATTAGGAGGTGTGGGAGCATGCAGGTCTTGGTGTCATATGGAAGTCAAAGGACAACACATGGGGATTAGCTGTTTCCTACCATGTGGATCAACTCAAGTATTCAGGCTTGGCAGCACATACCTATATCCAATGAGCCATCAGAGAGTTGGGAAGAAAATCAGAGGACAGCAGGAGACCAGCAGAGGAAACTTCCAGAAGGGGCAGGTGTGGTGGTGAGGGGGAAGCCAGACTTTAAGGACTCTGGCTTTGAGGAAGCACTCACAGTGGTAGGTGCAGTAAGGGAAAGCTGGGGGGGGGGGGCACGCAAGCTGAGGGAGGAGCCATTAGAATGAGGCCACCACACTGCTGCTAAAGTGAGTTTTCTGAACACACTGAGCCACAGACTCATCAGGGAAGCCTTATTGGTACTTCTGGTCCTAC